TCTGCTTAACACGCAGAAGGTCGCAGGTTCGACACCTGCACAGAACATTTCCTTTTTTGTTTTATTTTATTTTATTTATTCTTTATTAAACAATAACCGTAGTTGATGAACATTGAAGTACGGGTAGTTTTTTGACAATGCTTAAAAATTTCATTGTTTTATCAGAGAGAATGATCTTTTTATGAATATTAAATTTATTTAAATTAAAGCGAATAAGCTAATATGAGACATTTAATATAGAGATAAGTATTTGAAATATATATTTTAGAATGTCGATTATTTCTGATAAAAACTATAGAATAATCAATGAGATGCTTGAGTGTTATCTTGCGTATTCTTATCATTAGGATTAATTGTCTTCTTGCCAGGTTTCCAATTTGCTGGACATACTATATAAATAGATATGAATACTTTGGATCTTTATATAATATAATAAGTAAAAATAAAAATTTACCTTCACCATGTTTATCAGTAAATTGAAAAGCTTGAACTAATCGAAGTGTTTCATCAACTGAACGACCAACTGGTAAATCATTAATAGTCATTTGACGAAGTGTACCGTGCGTATCAATAATAAATAGACCACGAAATGCAATGCCTTCATCTTCTTTTAATACACCGTATTTAGCTAGAACGAAAACATATTTTATAATATCGAATAATTACTTTAAAAAGAGTAACTCATATGAGATATTATTCTTCGATTTTTTAATATACACGATTTTTAAAGCTAACATGAAAAAAAATTAATCTTACCAGAAATTTCCATAGTTTTATCTGATAATAATGGAATATTCATTTTACCTAAACCACCCATTTTACGTTCTTTTGTAATCCTACATAAAAATAAAGGAAATTGTTTTCTATTAGTACAAATACTAGCAATAATAAATATTATTACCAAGCAAAATGACTAAAATGTGAATCAGTTGAACAAGCTAAAACTGCACATTCAATATCGAGAAATTCTTGAGCACGATCACTGAATGCAATAATTTCTATTGTAAATATATATGTATACATACTTTTTTTTTCTATATTATTATTATAAATTACCTGTAGGACAAACAAATGTAAAATCAAGTGGATAAAAAAAGAGTACAACATATTTGCCTAAATAATCTTTTAATGAAACATCTTTGAAATCATAATCTACAACTGCTGTTGCTACAAAATCAGGCGCTGGTTTACCAATTTTAGCAGACATTCTGTAATTTTCTTTGTTCAATAAATGATCTAAAATAGAAATGAAGATTCTTCTTAATGTTCGATTAAGTTTTCAGCATATCTACAACTACACATTCTTTACAGATGATGTTTAATATATATAAATGATAAACTATCTGAAGATGCCATTGTATTTATATGGGTATGAAAATATTGTTTACTGAGATGGTTTATATGACATTGAAATACATTTGTTTTGTTTTTGTTCTTGCTTATATACTTGCATTAATTATATATACACATTATAAAAATGAATATCTTCTCCTTAGAGAAATATTCGTAAATGATCAAATATTGAAATAATTAACTTATTCTTGACAATCAACAAACTGATGAAATAGTATAAATAATGCAATGAAAGAAAACGATAATAAAGATATAGAGTTAATATCTATGAAAAAATATAATCTTTTTTAACGTGTATTCTTAGTGTAGTATATGAAGTTTATATTATTTAAGAAGATAAAACTGATATAAAATGAATGGTTATTTAATGTTCAACAATAAACCTAATTTATATTCGAATCACAATAGAAAATATCCATATAAGGTTTTCTTTATTCATCAGTTATTCGAAAAAAAATAAGTATAATAAGACGACGATGACAACAACAATGATGTATATTAATTTCAATGCATATTGAATAGAGAATTATTTCCCCTTTGAGATACTATTATAACTATAAATATCAATACTTCAATATTTGATGTACTATTTTTTTGACTGATGCCATATATATGTTGATTACATTAAAAACAATTTAGTACGAGTATAAATACACGTCATAGTATTGTTTTTTTTTTGGTAAATTTTCTACGAAAAATAACATTTGTTAAAATAGATATTTCAATTAAATCCTTTCTTTTTTGGTTTTAAACTCACCACCTACATTTTAACCTTAAATTACATTCATATCGAGAATGTGGTTAAAAAAACTTTGAATTGCCGTTTTACCTTATGGCGAAAGGATTAAGAATTTTCGGAGAATATATTTTTTCTACGAGGCCTAGTCTATATGAAACTATACACACTATATTACGCTATGTGTATTTTAAGATTAAATGATTAGAGAAAGAATAATATGAATATAAATATAATATATAAAAAATATTAGTTTATTGTTTTGAAAAAAACTTTATCTATTCGAACTCGACAGGAATCTTCAATATGTTAAAGTACATTGCCCTCTATTGTTTTATAATAACACTACTAAATCAAATCAAAACAAATTATGCTTTACCAACTGAATTACAAGAAGAAACCTATCGGTAAATCTATATTTATATAGACTATATTGTTATAGATTAAATTGATTTTAGAGTTCAAAATAATAGTCATATTTCAAAACAACTTCGAACTACGAAACTATGTACGACGAATAATGATTTACGTTTGTATATTCCATATAGTGCAGTTAAATTTTTTTGGTCAGGATTTGGTGTAGCAGATAGCGATAAAGTAGCAGCCGAAATTGCCCGTTCTGTTGCGGAAAAAGATGGAAAGAAAGGTGTTACACTTGAAATGCTTCTTGACTTCAGAGAAAATACGCATATTCAAGGATGTAAATCGAATATATCGATGACACCTCAATGTCAACAATTTTGGGAGAATTTATCTTGTGAATATGCAACAAGAGTTACAGGTATGATTTATTATTAATTCAAAAGAGGTAAAAAAATTAGCAATTTTGTTTTTTAGGAGAAATAAGAATTATTCTAGGATCAAAGTTAAATCCTGAAGATCGATGGTTTAAAATAGAAAAACCTACATTAGATTCTCGTCGTAGTAATGGACAAGATTTATGGGGTTTTAAACAATATGAATTAGAACCAGTTTATTGCAAAGATATGGCAACACACGACACTTCGATTCCTCAAATAAAAAATGAAATTTGTCAAAAAAATTCTTAATTATAATTGTTTTTTTTTTATTTTTTAAAATAAAAATAATATATCTATGATGTAGATGTCATGCGATAATATTTTAAAAACAATATTTTCATTGATGAAAATAATCGAGCAATCAAATACTATGTATATCTTTTTCTTGTACATACCATAACAATTTTAATAATGGATAAACATTTAATAAATACATTTCATTTGGAAGCCAATCCTAATGATCAAACACCACTTGATAAATTTAAATTATTTCGTAATTTCGATGTATATCTTTCTACATTACATGATTATGCATCAAAACATGAATTAAATGAATTAGAACAATATTATTATAAGATTGAAACCGATCCACGTCGTAGATTTTTTTATAATGTTAGTCAAACATATTTTGATAATTATTTTCTTGCAATAAATTTTCTTCTAACAAATCCTTATGTTATAACAACACCAACATTTACTAATCTTTATAATGAAAAAAATTTATTAATCGATATTGCTGATCATATTATAGAACTTTATAAAACACTTGATGACAAAGCATGCAAATATTTTAATAAATTTTTATTAGATAAATTTATTGCAAATCTTGATTTTATTCCATTACCAGATGATGTTACAGGAGAAGAATACAAAATATATTTTTCATTATTTAAACAAGCAACAAATCGATTAAAAACATATTTAATTGAATTAGTTAAAGATCCAAAATGGTTAGAACATTCCGAAGAAGGTTTATCACAATTTGAACCAGAAATTTATCAATTCTATTTTGAATATAATACAGGATTAAAAATAAATTCTTCGAATGATTTTATAAAAATCAAACAATGGGCACAAAAACATTTAGATCATTTAATGGATGAAGTTAATCAAATATGTGATCGTCTTTTAACAAATAATGAAGATAAAACAAAATCTGTTTATAATAAAATGATTCTTGTTGGAAAAGATTCAAGTCAACAATGGTTATCAAAACAAGAAATGATTGATGCATTTGAAGCATGTATAGCAAAAAATCGACATATATTTATTAATCAATATCAATTTAAAGAATTTAATCCACCAGGTCTTATTATTCTTGATAATCCATTACTTGCTAAAGGTTATCATGATAAAGATAAATTTTTTTTAAATGTTTGTAATTGGAAAAATGGTGAATATAAATATTCAGTTGAAAATTTAACATTACATGAATGTGTACCTGGTCATCATTTACAATTCGATATATCATATCATTCACCAAATAATAATTATTTAACAACAGTTCTCAATACACCATGTAAAGGTTTTACAGAAGGTTGGGGTTTATTTGCTGAACATTTAGATGAATTATTAGTAAATAATCCATGGATATATTTTGGTTATTTACAAGCAAATATTTTACGTGTATTTCGTATTATTGCTGATATTCATTTACATGTTGAAGGACATACACCACAACAAGTTATTCAATTAGCAAAACAATATTTAACAGCAAGTGAAGAATGGATAACAATGGAAGTTTATCGTTATAGAATATTACCTGGACAAGCATGTTCATATAAAATTGGTTTAGAAGTATTTAAACGTATTATTAAAAAAAAATTTAATGTTGATGATATTAATGACTATCTTCGACCGGATCTTATTGAATGGTATAAAGATGTTTTATGGAAAACAGAAAGACCATTAGATATATTATTACGTGAGAACGGTATAACATGGTCATTCGATGAGTAAACTGATAGAAAAATGAACATTACCGGTTTTTTTTCTGTCAATTATTTTTCTACAAGAGAAATTGTTTTTTTTTTTAGTATTGTTATTTTTTATTTCAGCTATATATATAGATTAAAATGATTTATTCCAGTTTTTTTTTAATTTTAAACCTAAAATATTTATCGTATTTCATCAAGTTTCATAGCTAAATGTCCAGTTTTTATAAATAATTGACAACCATTTTGACTTTTTACTTTAAATTGTCGTCCAGCCCATTCAATGGGTCGTCTTATCCAAAATCCTTGTGTACAATTATTTTTATTATTCTCATCATCTGTTCCATCAACATTTGTAAAACTCAAATCACCTTTAAGTACAAAGATTTCTTCACCATTTTGACCAACAATCCAATTATTATCTTCAAAATCAGCTTCCCATTTTTCCATCCATACATTTTCACCAGTATTTGTATTTGAAAATAAGTTAATACGTTGTCGTTTTGAATTTAAATCTTTTTTCCAATTCGTTGAAGCTTCTGTATCAATTATAGTAATTGGTGTTTCTGTACGATCATTCATTTGACGAAGTTTAACTAATAATATAGCACCTTGTTCACCTGTCGATGGTTCATGCGTAGTACCAATACCATGCCGACAATAACTCATTGGACCATGATCACCAGAAAGATCATCAGAAAAGACTCCATCTAATATAACAAATTCTTCTCCACCACCATGTGTATGACGAGGAAATCGTGCAAATGGACTGTATTTAACAATAGTTGTTGCTCGAGCTACTTCATCACCAATTCGATCTAACATTCGACGTTGAACACCTTGTGTAGGTGAATCAACAAATGGAATTAAATTCGAATCAATAACATGTGGAATAGAAAGATCAGAACGAAGTTCCATAATGATGATATAGCAGTTTGTTTTGTTTTTGATTCTTAGTTAAGAACTATGATGTAAAATGATAAGCAGCATGGGTATATATAGGAGAAATAAAAAATATGCAAGTCACCAATGACATGGCAGCAAAGAACAAGATAAATATCTCATTTCTATTTTACACAATTTTATCAATAGAAACTATCTAATTTGTTCTAGATATTTCATAACCAATTAAACGGTCTTATTCAATCAATAGCATGTATTGACTATTTTAAAAAAGAAAGTACTTCATTGTTTTTTTTAATAATTCAAAAACATAAACAGTTAGACATCTACAATTTTCACCAATCGAAGAAGAAGATAGGGGGATGTCTGTCACTCCAATATTCCATATGCTAAAATCAATTATGTCTGCAAAACATTAGGAAATGATGCAATCTTTATCAATGATCGAAGAAAAAAGACTTTGATTAATTTTCATATTATTTCTTATTTCGGATATATTCATATATGAATGTCTTCATCTATTTTAATAAGCATCAGTCGTGATAAACCACTATTAATACAAATAGTTAAAATACTTCTGTCTGCGATATTATTATTGAACATAAATTCAAATGATTAGGATTTACAACGAGAGAAAAAACAAATTCTATGATCTTTATTTTTATCTTTTTTTATTAAGCTAAAATTATTTTTAAAATAGTTAAAAATTATATCATCATTTCTTAGAATTCTTTACATATAATTTTATTTTATAAAAACGAAGTATTTGGATTTTATAAATAAATTTTAATATAACTATTATCTCTAATTCATGATGTTTGTTCATTCAAATGGATTTTATACTTCTAAATAGTAAAATACTATGTAAACTACCCATTTATCTCTATTATATCATTGATAAATATTAATGTCATGTACATATAATCAATATAGTTTTATATTTGTTCTTTATTATTGTTCTATTTCAGACTTAACCTGTATCTTGTGAACGTACTTCTACATAAAAGTTGGAATGAATTTTGATGTATATGACGTAACGCTTTCTCTCCCCACCCCCGCTTTGTTTGATAACAATTTGGATTTTATTGAATATACAAAATATATATTTCACATTTCTCTTCAAGCATGAACTAAAAGTTGAATCTTTAGGATCATCTTATTATAGTAAATTATAAACACAAATATATTCTTTTATTCAAAACATCATCTTTAATAACATCAACTAGATTTTCTATAAAGAAAATCGAATATGAAAAAGAATACTAAAAGATTTAGAAGTTCTAAATAATTTTTATGACGAAACAAGAATGAATTTATTCGATCCACATCATCTATTTCATTTAAGAATTTATAAGAATTCGCAACACAATATAAATATGATAATAGTATTATTTTAAGTATAGCAAAAAATAAACTTCACTTTATCGAGAATTGAGCATACTAATGAAGATAATGAATTTAACTTTGTAACAATACAATTAACTTGCACAGCTTTAAGTTCATATATAGACATAGTTAATCAAGAATTTCACTCAACATCATCAAATTTGATAGTAAAAACACATGAATTTCAACTAGTTTCCACAACAAAAAAGATTGTTTCCTATCAAACATATTTCTGTTATGAATTATTATTTATAAAAATTAATAATTATTCAATATAAGAATGTAAGTTTATTTCTAAATCAAACTAGAGATTAGCGATACAACAAGACAAAAAAATAGAAAACAATTAAAGGAAGAGTAGATGAAGATTTGTTGGTTTCAAACAAATGCTATCATTTATGAAAATCGATATAAACGAAAGAAAATGTTGATTATTTTCACTCAACATAATTTAAGTTTTAGTTATTAGTATATTGGAAAGTTTTGTTGATGATATTTAAAAATGAATTATGAAATGTTAATAGAATTATGACGGATGAATCGAGTTAAGTACATTTTTTGTTCATATTATCTTTGTAAGAATTAACAAAACTACCTTCCCAATCATAAGTTGTAACAACAAACATAGTTTGTTTATCGCTTGTAAATGCTCTACCAACACCCATTTTTGTTGAACTTTTCCAGATGATTTTTGGATAATGATTGACCATTATCAAATCTGGATTATCGAAATTAAAGTATTTATGTTCATCATAAAAACCATTAACTATACTGGTACCTTTGAATGAAAAAAGATTTTTTTAGTAAACTTAAATCAAAATTTGTTCAATAGTTACCATGACGAGCAGCATCTCCTTTGTTAAAATAGACTGTTTGCATTTTGCTCATATCATAAATAGGTGGTGTGACATCAGCAGCAGCTAATTGATTTGCAAAATCTTGAGATACTTTGTTAAGGCCTGCATCTAATATTAACGCCGGTACACAATGATCTTTTCGTTTTTGATTATGACCATCTAATGAATCTTCTCTGAATATTTTGATTGGATCAGCCAAACGAACACGTTTTTGTGGTGCTAAATAGAGAATTGTATTAATTAACAAATGCTACATTTCAATAGAGAAAGAGAGATTATCATATCATTTGCTGTCTAACCCTATTTCGAATGAATAGTAATAGACAGAAAATGATAGATGAATTATTAATTTTTATTTATTTACCCATGCACGATCCAGTTTTGAAACCATCGCCAGCACCAAACTCACTAACACTGTTCTGTAGATAGCACTTTGTCTCGTCTGGTGAATATAAATATCCAAAACAAATGTTCAAGTTATCACAACTTGTCATGCAATCTTGTACTGTAGCGATATTCTCAAGTGTTTTTTCTGTTACACCATAATATTGGCCATCTCGAGTTTCGGTACATTTCGTTTTTAGATTGGTACCTATAAAATAAACATAGTAAATATTATAATATTCATATTAACACATTTATAAATTAAAATAGTCATGCTTCATTTAAGCATATCATTGTCTCTACATCCAAAAACTTATAAAATCGATTGCTCAATCATTATAAGTTTTCTCATTACACTACGTTTGAACATCTATATCGAGCATTTTCAAAACTATAGAAAAATGTGAAAGTGCTTCGGATAAGAAGAAACAGTTAGAATACTTACATATGAAAGAATAAAACATAAGATAAATTAAAGAAACTGAGAACAACTTGTACCAACAATCTTTCAGTTAGACACATCGGCAGAAGATATTGTTAATATTTTAGAAATATACTAAACTTAGTTAAAACGATCATAGTTTCTGACTATTAAAGCAACAAGATTAAATTCGTTCTTCTCGAATTATCTTTTGTTTATAAAATTCTGAAGAAAGTATCGAGAGATAATATAAAGAATAAACTGAACTAATGAACTATAAAAGACTATCTTCGTAACATTGTTGAATACTGATATAAAGATTGAATGATACAAAATAAAACATTGTTTAGTAACTTACCAACACATGAACCAGATCTAACTCCATCTACCTTAATGGCACCTGCTATTGAACTGTATCTCATACACATTTTTGTGGCAGGTTTGTAGGACCATCCCATACATTTTCCACTAAGATCACAAGTGTCCATACATCTTTGTGCAGTATCAACACCGTTACTATTATATGAATAAGCTCCGTTCCATTGATAACCTTCTAGAATATCTGCAGTACAATCTCCTTGGGCTTCAGTTCCTATAATATAAGAAAATAAAATAAATATTCGACAAATGAAATGGTACTAAAAGAATGTTTTCCGTAAATATGTGAAATCTAGCTCAAGAATTTTGATTCTTTTAATTATATATATATAGTTTAGTAAAGTTTTCGAAAGTAAAAAAAGTATGGGATGTCTAAGATTTACAACAATATTGATTACAGATTATAAAAAGGGTGACTATGATTAACGATTGTCAAATATTTCGAATATAGAATAATTTGAAAAGGAGAAAAACGAATTTGTAATATTTTATCTAATAAGAAATGAAACTGTATTTCACAATTTATGATACTAATATGAATACTATTCAAAGTATATGAAAATCTTACGAGCTTCGAAGAATAATCGTCTGTTGTGATTCCATTGTAATTCACGAATTAATTGACGAAAAAGTTTTACATTTGGATCATCAATATTAAACTTTTTCTTATGAGAATATGCCTGAACATTATAGTTTGAGGTGAACATAGAAACAAGGATTACACCAACAAACAGTGACATGGTTCGACATTGTTTATTCCTATAAATCAAAAAATAAAACTAAGAAACTGTTATAATTTCATATCGTGCATATTTTTCGTCACTATGAAAATTTCACAAAATTGATTTACTTTCGTACTTATTATAGCTACGCATTGTATCACTCATTTTTGAAAAGAAGGAAAAGATTAATAAAAACTTACTGTGGCATCTTCACCAATATGCAATACAATAACAACAAGAAAATGCAAAACTTGTTGCTTGAAACCGAATGAGAAGAGATACTGAAAAAAAAAAGAAATAGTTATACTTTTATTTTCTACAGAAACCAAAGAAGCGTAACGATATTGCTGTAGAGAAATAATATAAATTGGTTAAACCCTTTCCCGCTCATTTGCCCTCTCTCTCTCTGTTTCAATCTGACTATGAAAATGAAAATCGACCGTACGATATTGATAAAAAATACCCCTCAAAATATTATTCATATTTAATTTTCTTCTTATGCTCCACATATCTCCTACGCATTATCTGACATTTAGAATATACCCGACAAAACAACAAATCTGACCGATTTTTCTGCTCATTAGAATAAAAGTCAATTTGTTGGGTAATAGTTGTTGCTGTTGTTTGAATAAATCGCTAATCATGATAATTTTTTAGAAAAAATATCACACATTGGCTGTTTCTCTCTAAACTCAAAAATAACGATGTATATGCGTCACACTATTTCAGTTAATTAAGACACCTACTTACAAGTCATGAGTTTGAGCATATAAAAACAAAAATATAGGGTTAAATTGATTACTTTATCTATAAGAAGTAGGTGCATTCTACCCCTTTTTCTTTCTCCAATGACATATTTCATTTTTATAAAGGTAGATAATATTATATTCATTTACGGTCATTATTTTTCGAATCAATCATGATTTGAAAATATTGCTATTATATATTCTCAGTCACAATTAGACAGTCGAAGCATATATTATATACTTTCGAATAACACGTATGGTCCCACTTATATTAAAAAATTTCTTACAGTCATCTTTTTCGTAATGGATTGTAAGTAATTATTCTTGAATTCAATGATTTTTTAGTTCATTTTTGAATATGTATATCTGAAGATATCTTTCATCAAAATATTTTATAGTATAATCGTTCAATCAATAATATTACTTTTTGGATGTACTATATTATGATGATGATCCAAATATTTTTAAGTGATATCAATGATCGATTTTTAGAGAGTGTGTAATGATTAGAATAGTTTGTTTTTGATTACTACATAGACCAATATATATTGTTATTATTATATTTTATTTTAGTTCTAGATAAAAAAAAACTTTATTCTCAATATGTTGAACACTTTTTATCTTTTATTATGTTGTTTTGTACTTTCATGCATTGCATTTCGATGTGATAATCCAGTACGAAAACGTGGTGACATTGGAACTCTAAAAAAATGGCCTGATAATACTATACCTTATGAGATCGACAGTGTATACAGTTCAGCTGATGTTGACTTGATTAAGAGTAGTCTTGCAGACCTCAGTACAAAATCAGGCAATTGTGTGAAATTTGTTCCTCGTACAAGTCAACATGTTGTCTGGGTACGTGTAGTTAGTTTGGATGGGTAAGTGTTTTCTTATTGTCTTCTAATGCAAATTAGACATAATGTGATAAATAAATCATATTCATTGATAGATGCTATTCTGACGTTGGTCTAGCAGTAGAAAGTGGTCTTCAGCAGTTATCACTTGATAGAAGTGGTTGCATGACAATAGATACAATTCAACATGAGTTTCTTCATGCTCTTGGCTTCCCTCATGAGCAAACACGTCTTGAGAGAGATGCTTATGTAAAAGTTCTTTATGAAAATATACAACCAAGTACGATCGGCAATATAATTTTTACTTTTATCATCATATAAGTTTATTTTAGACAAAAAGCACAACTTTGACAAAGATGCTCAGGGTTCAATTCTTAGTTTTGGATTACCTTATGATTTTAGTAAGATAAACTAATAATAATATTATAGTTCTATATACATTATATAATCTTTATTCATCTTATTTAGATTCCATTATGCACTATACCTCGGATAGCTTTTCTACAAATGGTTTACCTGTCATGGTACCTGCTTCACCAAATGATAAAAGTTGGCGATATACAATGGGTGCGGGTAACAAGTTGACCGAGACTGATCTTTACAAAGTGAAGAAGGTATATGGTTGCATTGCCTAGAACTTTTTAATTATTGACTCATTTTTTAAACTATTTTTTTTTATTTTTCATTCATTTCCAAATAATAAATTGTAGCTAGAAATATTTGCGTAATATCATTTTTTTCTTTGTTTCTTTTGAAATTTTATTTACCGCTAAAATGACTTCTATGAATTTTTGTTTAACATTCTATTTTGTAAATCAGCATTATGAATAGATTGAATAAATATGTTCATATGATTACTACTGTCTGTTTCAAAAAATACTCACTCATCTTTTATTTTGAAATGAATAGTAGTAGATTCATTTGTTTTCTATTGAATAATTAAAAGATTTTTCAGCCATTTAATTTAAAATATCTCTGTTCGAATTGTTTTTTAATAGATTATTACAAAAAATTTCAGTCACGATCAAATACTAATTATGTCGCTTTCGATTTTCAATCAAATATTAAAACTTCATCGAATTTTATATTTCATTACCATTCATGCGTATATTTATATTATTATATTTAAAAAAAATTCGATGTCGTTTATGATTGTATATAACAAAAATAAATACTAAATAACCTTTTTGAAGAAAGACATGAAGTTTCCAATAGTAAATATATTTTCTATTGTAGTGTTAAGTGATAATTTTATAAGTTAGAAAAAAATAAGCTATTCATTATTCATTTGATGAGAACAATTTTGTTTTTTTTTTTCGTTCTATTGTAATATATGAACGTCGCATGTAATAAGTGAAACAATATGTCTCACCTTGATCATGAAAATTCAAAGGTTAAGTAAAAGGTTTGAATAATCAGAAAAAAATTGTCATAATTCATGGTCATGATTTATGACCGTGACCGTACCTAAAAGCCTTGGTCACACTAATCTCTCAAGATGACCATGGAAAAGCGATAACTATCGATTGAATCAATTGACAAAAAAAAAATAAAATATCAGATTTTGTTCACATTCACTACGAATAAATTTTTTAATAGTTCTATAGAAAAAAATTATAGCGAACAAAATAAAATATATTCATATTCGAATTGCAATATTATCTTTGTAAAAACAAATTTCAAAATTCTTATAAACAGACATATTATTTCTTTATAAAGTTTAACAATTCTTTAAATTGAATATTCTAATACTTTTATCTATACAATTCTTTTTTTTTTCAATATGCATATCACTTTTTCTCTACCGATTGATATTTTAGGTCACGCTTCGAAGGACGATCAAACTCGGTTTCTTATTACTCAGTATATGTATACTACATTATCCAACGATAAAATACTCACCTAAAAATAATTATATATATATCTCTCTCGTAATATTATTATTAAATAAATAAACTTTTTAAAATTTATATTCACAAGAATACTAACCTTTATATTTTCTTATCTGATATAACCATGCATTGATATAAGCAAGAGAAAGTAGTATAAATATTTCCTTTTCTAGTAATATTTATGATACATATATGAATCATAATTCGTCTACGCATTACCGATGACTCATTTGTTGACTATATGTCAATATAAATATGTAATGTCATAGTTGCTGTGTTTCTTTGAAATATTTTGTTTTACTTTATAATGATAACTACAATTGAATACTTACCGGATGAAATTCTTTTAATTATTTGTAATTATCTAAGTCAATATCATATTATACATGCTTTTTTTAATTTAAACGATCGTTTAAATTCGACAATTTCACAATATTATAATTCACTTATTGTTGATCATAATGTCTATCGTGAACTTCTACCAATTATTGGATCTTATCTACAATCACTTACGATTAAAGATATATCTTTAAAATCACATGAGATTAGTTTCGCATCAAATATTCAAGAATTAACATTTGATAAACAACATCCTCATTCAATTCCGGTAATTTTTTTGTAAGCCAAAATAAATAGACGATTAATCTTTTTTTTCTAGTCACTTGTTAATCTAACGGATTTAAATATTATCAATGCACCATCAACAAATCTAACTGATGTTTTATTCTTAACAAATAATAATATTCATTCAATCTATATTTCTTCACAAACTCCTTTGACAATTTCTACAACTAAAATTTCAAAAATAAAACAACTTGGTGTAACTCTCAAATCACTTGATGATTGTATTTCTTTATTTTCAATTTGTCCTGAACTTACATGTCTTAATCTACATTTATTAGATTGCAGTTTTAAAAATATTCCGAAACAAATCAAGTATATTTAAATTCTATTATAAAAATTATCTTTCGATTTCTTTAGTGAACCATCAAATCTTCAAATATTTTCTCTACGAACAAATTATGAAACAAATGTCGATTTTAATACAATTAAAAATATATTTCAATATCTTCCATCACAATTAGAATATCTCGGCATAGAGATTATTACATTAGATCGTGAATGTGTCAATGGTCAAACATGGGAAAATTATTTACAAGAAAAATTTCCAAATTTAATACGTCTTGATTTTTTCATTTATCTAAGACCAGAATTACCAACTAACACGGAAACAAGACGATTACCATCTATTCTGAAAACTTTTCAAAATGATTATTGGTCATCAATTACTCCACAACATATAACTGGATATTATGATCGATCCTATCAAGGTGAATCAATAAGTATTCATACTGAACCAGCTCCGATAGTCAGACGACGACGTTATTTTTTAAATTAATTTTATTAGAAAAAAATATATTCATAAAAAACAAAATAAACATGAATAGTAATGTCATTTTTTTCCATATCGTGCTCGATGATTTTGAAACCAAATACGAATTGATGATGTTGGTAAAGCAAGTTGAGATGCTATTTGTTCTTGTTCACTAGGTGATGGATATCGATTTTGAGCATATATTTGACATAAATACCAACTTTGCCAATCAGATAATTTTCTTCGAGACTAAAAAAATAAATCATTATATTATTAAATTAATATCAAAGTAAATATACACATACCTTTCGTTCACTAGTTTTTGTTAGATGACTAATTGAAATAGAAGAATTGTAACCAGTATCATCTAAATAAAATAAAAATGAATAATACTGCAATTATTTTTCGATTAAAACAATAATTTATAATTTGGCTTACTAGATGATGACTACCATTATCTTTCTCAAAAAAAGAATGTAACTTACCATGTTTTTGACAAGGGGATGAAATAGGAGTAAAAGAAGAGATAGCTAATGATTCAATAGAATGAAAATTCACACGTGGTTTATTTGTTGGATGTGGTGTACTTGTTATCGGACGTTTTTCTGGTGAACAACTAGAAGAAGAAGAAAAAAATAATCATATTTGATATCAATCATTATGACACACTTACTAAGAACTTGTATTATTACAAATATCAATATCAGATGAATATGATAAAGTTTGATCATCATTAATAGAGTACATTTTTGATATCTATCCTTGACTAATGTGGAAAATTTCTCAAGCGAATTATATATATATATATGTACATGACTGTTCAATAATCAATCAATTAGTGATGATGCGCTCATCTCTTTTTCTTCATATTGATGGATGTAAATCAATTATAGTGATCTCAATTGGATGATTATTACCTATTTTTTTCTTACGAGTGGATTATTTGAATGCTATCCAATTTACATATCAAAATTTTATTTAATTAAAAATTGAATTTTATTTTTCTTTCACGATCGTTTTGTATAAAGAAAATCTTATGCATTAGGAAAATTTGATTGTCTAATGAGAATATTTGATTGTATCGTTATGAAAAAAAAACGTCTGACGTCGTAATTGAAGAAATATCGAGTTCGCCTTGATTTTTGATGAAAAATGATTTTTTTTTGTTCTGCTTTGATAAGATGAATTCAAGGTATCACATGTTGATAACAAGTACAGTACTGTCGTATGCCACATCACTTATTCCCTTCGTGCTTGAGCAACGTTTTATTAGGAAGGACAAAGAATGTTGTTTTTTGTGATTATTATATCGATTTCTTCTTCCTCTCTTTCTCGTTAACTGCAAATATAATAAACGTTCTGGCAAGCAACGAAGAACAAACCTTACTTATATAGGCACACATCGACTTACTTTATTCAAATATTAAGAAGCTTTATGATAGATTTATCAACAAGGAAAATGTTCAATATAAAATTAATATAATATATTTTTTTTTTGGTGAATATATATATTAGTTTAATTAACGTTACTTGTACAAAAAATAAAATCAATGGGTAAGGCAAATTCAAAATGTAATAATCAATTGTCAATAATTTCTCATACTCAATCATTATTATCATCATGTCATTCCAAACGTAAACATATTGATTTAAGTGTATTTATTAGTAAAGAACGTTTACGTACAAAGAAAAAAGTTCTTATGTTAGGTTTAGATGGTGTAGGAAAAACAGATTTATTTAGTCGCTTAATATGTCATGAGAAACAAACAACAACAACAACAAAATCTCTTCCTCAACCAACTATGGGTATGTATTCTAAATGAAAATAATTCATATAGAATAGATTTCGAATTATTTGGTTTTTAGGTTATAATGTTGAAACAATAAAAGTTCATTGTAATCATTTTTGTCATCGTCGTAGTCATGAAATAACCTTATGGGATTGTGGTGGTCAAAGTTCTCTTCAACCATTATGGTCTTATCATTTTTCTAATACATCATTACTTCTCTGGTTAATAAATGTACATGATCGTTCAAGATTAGATACTAATCTTCAATTACTTTCGCAAATTCTTACAAATCCATTACTTTATCGAGTTCCTGTTCTTATTATATCCTATCATAGTTCAATGAAACGACAAGATGAAAAAAAAACATTCGATGATGATAAAAATGAAAATTTACTAACTAATTTAGAAATAGCATTTCGTTTCTTATCAACACTTGCAGCTTCACATGCTAGTACGTTCAAATGGCAAGTTATTAGTATAAATTTGAATGATAATTCTACTGATGATCTTAAAAAACTTCGACAATCATTCAAAGAATTAATGGAATTATGAAAATATAATAAAATATATATATTTATTTTTTATTTTTTAATCTGGTAAAGAATAAACTAATTGTCGATCATTGTCATCATTATTATATTCATTGTCTATTTCTTCTCCATAATACATTCCTGTTCCATGTTGATTAGTATTCATAGGGTAATTATTAATAGGTGGCATTGCCCATTCTTGATTCTTAAAAAATGAAAAATATATAAATTGTGTTTTGTAATAAGAAAGATTTACTTTGATTCGATTAGTTGTTGCTTGTTTATAAAAAAGTTGACGTACTTGTAATTGTCGTTCTCGTGCAGCTTGCAATCGTTTTCCTTGATCGTCAGCTTCTTTTAAAACAGCAATTTCATCATATTCTTTGTCTATTGTATGAAAAATAAATAAATAAATACATGAATATTTATGTTTTTACCTCGCATTGCTTTTTCTTGCATAGCTTTAGACATAGCCGTAGTATATCTTGCTAGAAAATAAATGATTATAAGATATATAATCATGATTAAAATGTTTTAATTAATATACGTTTATTATTTCCATCATTGAGTGATCGAGTTTGTGCACGTTGTTTAATTTCTTTACATGTTAATGTTGATTCAACAGGTGGCATAAGTATGACTGAACTCCAAAATTGTTTTGCTAATTTACTTTCATCATCTCCAGATCCATCAAATACAGTTAATGTTGGATTTTGTCGTGTATCAATTTCATGGATTGATTTCAATAGACCTTTGAATTATAGAAAATTGAAATTTTTGCAGTATCAGTTTACTTGTTAAGTACTTACTCATTTTGTTATTTGAAATAACGAACTACCATCTCTTTGTTGGTTACCATAGAAAGGACACAATCAAAGAAATGTAACAGAACATGGCAAAATTGATTAAAAAGAAAAAGAGAACGTTTTTTTTAAAAACTTCTATAGCCATCTATATAAAAGTTGTTCTGAAGTTGTAATTAAATGAAATCGAAATTTCAACCAATTTGTTACATATAAAATAACGAGAAAAAGACTATTAATAAATCAAATGAAGTTATAAACATCAACACATTATTCTATAATATCTATCAAAGATGACCTTAGATTCTTCGTTACAAGAAATTATTGTTTATCATTATATGTATATATACTGTTCTATAAGATATTATCCAGGCTTAATATAAATTGTCATTTCTAAGTTCCTCTGACAGCTATAACAAACTATTCTCTTATATAAGAGAAAAAGAAAAGAATATTTTTTACATATTCATTTGATACATTCTCAGAATACAATGAGTCCATCATCATCATCATTATTATTATTATTCGTTATTATTCTTAGTATGATAATTCATGGTCAAAGTCTATTTTTTAAAAAAACAAGAAATAAAATAAAAAATGTTGTCGGAGGTAAATCACGTAGTAATACAGAAGGACTTCATACTGAACAAATGATGTTATTTCCTAATATTGGATTTCAAGGTAAAGATAATAAATGGCGTTTAAATGTACTTGGTTGGCGTTTTCAACCATCAAAACGTACTAAATTTTTGGGTCAATCATCTTCAAAAATTAGTGAACGTCTTGCACGTTTCTTTGCTGATTCAAACCAAATTGTTTATTATAATGATACATTTCAACCTGATCGTCTTAAACCTTTTATGGTAGAAGATAGAGCACATGAAGAAATTCTTATTATGATTGGAAAAAATCATAATTTTACAACGAAAACAGATAGTGAAGGACAATTTCGTACATCATTTATTATGCCTAATGATGATGTACAAAAATTAAAAAAAACTATAAAAAATGATCAAGTTATTACATATAAAGCAATTGGAGATAATGAAGATGTGTGGGAAGGAAAAATACATTTATTAGATTGGCGTGGATTATCTGTTATATCTGATATCGATGATACAATTAAAATTAGTGAAGTAATAGATAAAATTCGATTAGCAGCAAATACATTTATTCATGGTTTCCGTGTTGTAAAAGGTAAATATATATATATTATTTTTCTTAAATGCAATATATATGTATTTTTATAGGAATGCCAGAAGTATATCGTGGATGGAAAGATAAATATAATTGTTCATTTCATTATTTGAGTGCAATGCCAGATCAACTCTATAATGTAACAAAAGAATTTATTGATGATCAGAAATTTCCTGATGGAACTTTTCATATGCGGTAAGAATTCATATTATCTTAATAGACTAATTATTATCAAATATATATATATATATATCAATTTCAGACATTTTCGCTGGTCTTCAATATCGATCTTTAATTTTGTTCATTCTGCTGGTAAATTGAATATTGATTGATTTCTATAAATATTTTTTTTATTGATTTTTAAATAGATACAAAAATGCACAAAAACTATAATATACGTTATTTTATACGTAATTCATTACGTACATTAGTTCTCGTTGGTGATTCAGGTGAACATGATCCAGAAATTTATGGAAATGTTACACGAGAATATCCGAAACGAATACATCAAATTTTTATACGAGCAGTCAAAGGTGAAGCTAAAGATGATAAACGATTTTTTAAAGCATTCAAAGATATACCAAGAGAAAAATGGCTTGTTTTTACTGATCCTATCAAGGAATTACCGAAAGATTTGAATCTTAAACTACCAATTTCAATATAATTATTATAATAGACAAATGAAACTCAGAACAAAAAGAAACCTAAAGATTAATAATCATTATACAAGTTTAAATGTCTATTTAACCCTAGTAGTACCAGTCTGTTTTAAGCACTATATTGACAACATTTATTTTTTTTAACCATTTTTTTTTTCTTTTTCGATCAGTTTCTCAATGTAATATGCTATTTCTGTATTCGACTTGATGGAAAAACGATTTGCTTTATTTAGAACAAGTCATACAAGTAGTTTCATTACTCAAAAAATATAAAATAAAAAAGACAAGTAAATACCATCGATACATTTGATCTACAATGATATCGATCATCCACTATCGTCACTGGATAGCTTTAAATCACTCAAAAAATATTTTTAATTGTTAGAACATTTATATTCAAGTTGGATTCTTATATAAGTCATTGGATTATATATCACAAGTTCTAATTTTTCTTCTTTTTTTCCCTATACTTATAATATTCTGAAGGGATAGACCTACGTTAACAGGTTATAAGGATATGGAAAACATATATGTTTTTTCAGATTCAACAGCATGTATCTTATTAAAGATAGATGCTGGCTGCTTCTAAAAATTGGGAAAAAAATTATTTCTAGTATATTTTCAACTTTTTGAGATGGGGTTAGAAATGACCCCCGCTGGCAGTGGCGGATCTAGGATTTTGGAAGGGGGGGGGGCGATTTTGGCTAAAAGCTATTCTTTGAGTCCAGTCGAAGTAGTGTGAACCTATTTTTTTGTTCATTTTTGCTATAAAAAATCAGAAACAAATTCAGAAGGGAGGGAGCGATCACCCCCATTGTTCCCCCCCCCCCCCTAAATCCGCTACTGTCCGCTGGTACTACTAGGGCTAATAAAATATAAATAGTATATTATTCGATTTAAACTACGTAGAGCGGATATGGGTCACATCTTCATCTTCATCTTCAACCTACAAGTTGATCTATTAATTCAAAGTCTTTCAGCATTTTATCTTTGTTATTTGTAGAATTTTTTCAATCAAATTAGGGATAAACAATATTCAATGATGTATATTCTCAAAACTAAGTATATTTTAATAGAGAGTAAATCAAATATATTTTATCAAATACGAAATTGATTTATAATTTAACATTCGAAAAACATGTTTATTAATCATTTTATTTTCTCTTTATCAACACAATATATTTGAAAATTTCAAGTATAAAATAATATTTTGAAAATGTATATTTAGCATAACGAGTTACATATCAACATCTAAAATGTAATTAATTAACAAATTGCCATAGGCAAGAAAGACAAAATGTAAATTAATTGATATATTAATGAAGAATGTTTTCTTTTTATCTATTTTCTATTTGAATATTAATTTTGAAGTTTGTTAAAAAATCTTATAATATGATTTGTTACAACAATTCTAGTTGAAAAAAACAAGGACAAGAACAACAACAACTGCCAATCATACTCGATGCATTTTCTCTCTCTTTCTCGTGTTCGTCAACAAGCAGTCGTGCATAGTTGAAATTCGAAGCCTCTTTAAAACCATAATCATTCATTTTCTTCACTTTTTTTTTTTCATCTGCAAAAGAAAACATGAAATGATGCTCGTAGTAGTGACTATTGTTTTCGACATACCATTCTTCTTACACCTCGTCAAATCAAATCAGAGTTCGCTTGAGAAAAAAAAAACAGAACGATACTTCTATTACCACTTTACATCTGAAGAATAAACAATACACACGCGGCATATGAAATATGTAAAGAAAAAAATATATATATACTTGTAAAACAATCGATAAAGTTCAACTGAAGTGAATGTCTTCAGCTTTGAAATTATTCAGTATGTATAAAGATTACAGATCCAATCAAAACTGTTGATTACTTGTTCTCTTCTCATTTTTTTTGTTGCTTTAATGAAGCCTATAACAGGTATGAATAAATATTTTCTTTTTTATTTCTATTTTTTTGATTGCCATCATCATCACCATCATCATCATCATCATTAGTTAATGTTCGATTCTTCTTTTACATTAAAATATGAGTTTTGAAGAATTTCGTCGTACAGGTGAATTTTCTGATATTACAGTTATCGTAAATAAAACTGAATTTAAACTTCATACATTTCCATTAATTGCAAAAAGTGAATATTTTAAAAAAACTGTTTCATCAACAACTGCACCCTATGTTATTGAATTTGATAATAAATTTCCTGGTGGTGCCGATATATTTAATCTCGTAGCAGATTATTGTTATTCAATTCCAATATCTATTGATCAAAAAAATATTGTTCCACTTCGTTCAGCAGCATGTTTTATTGAATGTGATACATTAAGTACATTGATTGATAAACGTTTTGATGAAATACTTCTTATTGCACATGCAAAATATGATTTAAATATTCCATTACAATTACTTGAACAATGTGCAGGCGAATATGAGCCATGGGCTAAACAAACACATATTGTTGATAAATGTCTACAATGTATAATTGAATCATTAGGTCGTGGTATTGGTTTACAATTGAGTAAATCAGAACGAGATATTGTTGCTCGTCTACGACTAGAATGGATTATTGAATTAATTAAATTATGTCCAAAAGAAAATAAACTTGCTATTCTTCCTTTTGTTAAACATTATGTAACAACACGTGTACTTCAACAAAATCAAGTACAACAAAATATGTCTACTCCATCATCATCAGGAGAGAATCAAGATGAACATCATAGTGCATTTACACCTGTTATAAAAAAAAGAAGATACAACAGTAACAAATGATGATGAGAAACGAACTATTATCGATGAAATTATTCAAGCATTAGGTAATATTATTGAAGAATTACCACTTATTTGGCTTAATTCAGTTTATGAAAAAGCTGTAGAATTAAAATGTGAATGTGAACCAATATTAGCATCATGTATTACTCAAGCTCTTCTCAATTCAACTAGACATAATGATACGCTTGAAAATATTCCTGATGATGTTATGACAAAATTATTAGAACGAGTACATAAACATAAAGAAGATCATGTTAAAGATCCTAAAACACTTGCAAAAGTAAAATTTATTTTTTTTTAATTTTTTTTAAAGTAAAAAATTTTTTTATATTTTTAGTTATCAACATTACTTGATTCATATGTTGGACAATTACGTCAACGTGGTGCATTAACAAGTGAACAATTTGTTAAATTAGCATCATGTATACCAAAAGAAAAACGTAATTCACATGATAGTCTTTTACTTGCACTTGATGAAATTCTTAAAGATGGTTTGTTAAAATTTAGAATTTTTCTTTTTCTTAAAATTAAAAAATATATATTTTAGAAAAATCAACACAATTAAGTAATACTGAACGAGAAGAATTACTTAGTCAAATTGATTTTTCACGTGTTACTGAAGAAACAATTACAGCATGTAAAAGTAATAAACTTATACCACAACAATTAATAACTGATGCAGCATTGGCTTTATGTGTTAAATTAAGAAAACAATTAGAAGATACTGAACATCGTTTACATTCAATTGAATTTGAATTAGGCAAATCTCGACCAACACATAGCAGCAGTTCTAGTAGAATTTTTATTACTATTGAAATAATTCACATATAATTTTTGTTTTCAATTATTTAGAATATCGAACACCTCAATTAAATTCATCATTTCGTCTTCCACCACGATCTCGTAGTACCTATACACATACTTATGATATACCACGAAATAATTCAATTTATAATTATACAAAATATAATCATGATAGTGATTTAGATTATATTGTTCCTTCAAGATATCTTTCATCAGCATCAAGCAGTAGATATGGTTCTTATTCTTCTGCTTATCATTATTAAGAAAACAAACATTTCGACTTTTTTTTCTTCTTATGCGTGTGTATGTAGAATGATTAGAAAAATGAATGCATGACATTTAAATTTAACATATTCCATTTTTTTTCTTGTTTGCTTATGAAGAATGAAATTTATTTTAATTTTTTTATTAAATATATTTTACAAAAAAAAATTAAATTTTTAGTATATTACGAATTTTTTTTGCTTTTTACTTATTGTTTCATGTAATTCTTTTTCATTTTGATTTATACAAGTAAAACAATACTTTTCTTTTGATAAGATTTGGTAACGACGTCATAAGTGTTCGACATAAAAGAGATCGAATTCACTTTCATTACTCAGTCATTTACAATTCCATTAACAAAAAAACATGAGCTTATCTTCATTCAAAATACTTTGCATTTTGTTTCTTACTTTTTCAATTGTACTTGTACAAGCACAATTTTGGGGTACAACATCTTTAGGACAATGTTATGGTCGATTTGAACAATACCGTACTTGTTCTTCAACATGTCCAGATACATGTCAAGATATAATATGGCCAAACCAAGCTAAAATATGTAATTTAATGTGTAGATCAGGATGTGAATGCATTTATCCTTTTGTACGCTTGAATCAAAATTTAATGAGTCCATGTGTTCATCCACGTAACTGTCAATTTAGAGGTGGAAATTATGCTCGCATTAATCATTAACTTATTTTATGTGATGATTTTCTCTTATCGAATGCACTGAATTTTAATAAACACAATAAGCTTTTATTTTAAACCAGCACATTTGTATTAATATTTTAAATAAATGATTTATGCGAACTTTTTTCGTTCAACATATGTTACCAGATAATACAATATAGATTTCATGTCGTACAGCATGTTTTCGAAATCTAGAATGAGCGACTCAATTATTTTCAGTGAAAGTTATTTTTAGATTCGTAAAGTTAAATAAGTACGTTTTTCATTAATTCTAAAAATCAATACAACCAATAAAATATATTTAGCTTATCTTTTTAATACTACGATAATAATACATGATTCTATTTGATGTAAGTTTTAGATATGAAATCTTATACCAATGAACAAGGATATATTATTTATTGCGTATATTCTTATACATTAATAGGTTTTTGTTTATCAGATATTAGAAAAGATTCTTGTGCTATATGTCAATATTATACCACTAAAAAAACAACATCAAGTTATATGTTTTATCCCTTTATTTGCTCTTTACTATATGACATACGCATCAGAGATACGATGGTATATATAGGGTATGAATATTTTTGATCACCAAAACAAAACGTACAACTGATCACCAAATTTATTATTAATAAATAGATAGTACATTAATTACAATCACATACCATCTTGAGGGTGGGCGTGGGTGTAAGTATAGCTTCATTTTTTCTTCGCCGAGACCCAGTTCCACACCCCTGCTCACTACATGCTAATTAGTTTGGTGATCATTTCGCAATGAAACAATTTGATGATCATTTGTATCTTTTTTTAGTGATCATTTAGCACCAAAATAATTTGGTGATCAGTTGTACCTTTTTTTGGTGATCATTTCGCAATAAAACAATTTAGTACTCATTTGTATCTTTTTTTAGTGATCAGTTGTACCTTTTTTTTTGGTGATCAAAAGTACATTCTCCCTATATATATATATATATATGTATAACTGATTATTATAGTATCAGAATACATACAAATTCATTTCTTTGCATTGATCGACATTTCAATATCAAACATGGTTGAATTCTTACGTACTACTATCATATTTACTGTAGTCGTCTTGGTTTTTACTTTGACTGTACAAGCTCGAGGTAAGTTATAATTATCGATACAATTAAATATTATATTTTTTAGTTTTAGGTGTTCCATCAATACGATGTCTTCATGAAAATGAAGTATATACTTCATGTGGTACAGCATGTCCACTTACTTGTAAAGATGTTGTCAGTATGAATCTTCATCGACCATGTACACTACAATGTGTAGTAGGTTGTTTTTGTGAAAAAGGTTATGCACGTGAAACTGAAGAATCTAATAGCCGTTGTATCAAAGTTGAAGACTGTTTTGAAATTGATTAATTTATCAAGTATTCGAACTTGTTCAAATACTAACTTTATTCTATATATATATAGTTTTATCTGTCATTAATTTCTTTCTACTGTTGGTGAGAAAAGATAATCATGCTATTTTATTGAAATAAATAAACTCATTAAAATAAATAAATCATAAAGAATTTGGATGTAGTAGAAATAAGCATAAAATCGATGTATATCCTAAAAAAAGATAAACTATTAATAAGAAGGGTGGGTGTTGGTGTTTCTTTATTCTCTTACATTCACACCCTCAAGATGATGAAGTTTTTTTTCTTTCTATGTATTTCAATAAAATGAATGTTTTAGTATTTCGATATTTATAATACAAATTTTTACTCTACAACTGAAATATAAATCGAATAAAAAGGATGAAGATCATTTAAACAATATAATAGAAAAAAATCAACATAACTGTTATAGATATTAGCATAGTACTAATGGTAAGACAGCACCCCTAATTCGATCATTTAAAAAGTTAAAAAAAACACTATTTGAGTTTTTGTAAAAGAGATTTTTAATTGAATTGATTAATTAACTGAAGATGTTAAGAATTTCTTTTTTATGATTTGAATTAAAATGAGTAGATGATCGTATATATTATAGAGTTATAATTGATAACATTTGTCTATGTAATAATCAAAATAAATATAAATAATAAATGATTTCAATATCGATTCGTACATATATGAACGCGTTTCATAGTGATTTTAATATAATATAATGTCTACTATATACGTTCATGTGAATATAATTGATATATCTTTAAAAAAGCGATTCTTTGATTAAAATTCTTTATGATTTTATCTATATATGAGTCTTTTATAGCGGACATGAAAGTATGATATTGATTGACTTTTAGTGTCTTGTAAATGACAAAGTTCATTGGTTAATTGATGGAAATAAATAAAGATAAATATGTCATTAAAAAAACGTATGGTAAATCAAGAGGAAAAATATCAAATGTTCAACGTCGATTAATATTTCTCATTCGTTGTGCATGTCTTAACTGTGCTTCTTTCTCTGATGGATTAAACATATTGTAAAACTTCGTAAAAGCAGTATACATTACTAAAGCTTGTATAGGAACCATAGCAGCCATCATAACAACACTCATAATTGCTACTGGTTGTGTACATGCATTTATCTATTATACATATATGTGTTAAATATGAGTCTTATTTTATTGTAAAACTTACGTAATTTTGAGGATACATGACAGGAACGGTAATTTCAGTTGATCCACTTGCAGTAATTGCACCCGCTGTTGTTGGACCTATAGGACAGAAGTTAATTAATTATAATAATATTTTCGGAAAAGTAATAACATTTTTCTTACCAGCTGTAGTTGCAATTGTAGTAGTTATAGTTGTTGTAGTTGTAACAGCAGTCGTAGTAGTTGCCACTATGCCAGATGTTGTACACTATGAAAAGGTTTCATATTAAGAATAAATGTTAGTTTAGATAAACTTACTGCAGTATTAATCGAAGTAGTAGTTGTATGTAAGGATGTAACTGTATGAGTTGTTGGTGGAGTAGTAGTTGTTGTTATTGTAGATGATACAGCTGGATCCCAAATATTAAATACCCAATATGTTGGATCATAAATCGGAGCAGATTCAGGACCTTCAATGATGTATCATTTAATTTATATTTCTTTGTTAATCGATATAATTAATAAACTATTACTTACCACAAAATTCAGTTCCACTAGCAACACCTTAAATCAAACCAAATAACAACATATTAATTGAAAATACTGTGTAAGACTAATAAATTTATACATACCACTATCAAATGTCACATAATAAAAATGTCCAGGAATCCATGGTGCAACTGGAAAACGAATGATAGTTGTATAACCTGTATATATGACATTAGGGTCCCAACCACAATCAAATTTCTGAACGAGTGTATTATTAGCAGTGGCATCAGTGAAATAGATGTAAGTGCCATTAAGTGTTGGACGATTTACAGATTTTGTCGCTGATAAAACAAAATTTAAATACAATTAAATGTATAAAAAACAGTGTATTAAACAATTGATAGAAACTATATTATCTCTTAAATTATTCACAAGTATTACTTTGAATCGAGAAAAGGGTTTGATTTTGAAAGACAGTGCCAATTGGTGAAGCTGAGCCTTGAACCATTGTTGGACGAATGACATCAGGAGATTCAAAGCCAACTAAGAATGTAATACACCATTGATTAGATTGAAGTTGTATAGTATCGACAGCTCCAGCACAGAATGATTGCGGACCATACTGAGGAGCTATGGGAACCCAACTGAGAATGATTTCGTAGACATCTGTAACGAAATAATGAAAGAAACAAAATAAAATACATAATATACACTAACTAGGACTTGAATTGATAATACCACTCTTTTTCATACCAGTTGGAGTGCTACTAACTAAATCAACAATAGCATGTCCAGGACAATAAACTTGTACAATGATGTATTCAGTAACATTGGAACCGATTGGTGTACCAATACAAGCTAAAATGGAGTAAACAATTATAGATGTGAAAAGAATAAAGAATAAAGTTATATATAACTTACCTCGGTTTGGTCGATTACCAATGATAGCAGGTGGAGTAGTACAACTAGCGGTAGGTGCAGCATAGCCATAGAAAAGAAATTGTATTGGGACAGAACTCATTGGTGTTGTTGATGAATTACTATAATAATCTTCAATTTGTAATGCAGCTGCAGCATACATCCCAGCATTTGTAAGCGTAAACACAAGTGTACAATTATCTTGAATAAGACTAACACCAGGAATTCCATTACATACACCATCACATTCATCGTAATTGTTAATATTACCTGATGAAGTTGCCCATCGACATCGCAATATATCGGTTCCATCAAAATCAGACATTTGAACAACATGTACTTGTTGAATATTGATTTGTTTGTAAATAATAGGAAGACTGACAGCAACAGGACTGGTATTTATGTAGCCATCGGGTCTAATAGTAGTGTTGATTCGACAGACAACACTCCATCCTGTGTCGTTACCACCAACAACGAGATTTGAAAACCAATTACCATCTACAAAACCAACACTAAATGCAATATTTAATGGAAATGTTTGCGTTTCATAATGTTCACCAGAACTAACGGTAAGTGCAGCATTATAATCCGTACAGTTTACTGCTGTATCCATAGAAGTCCAGAAACCACCTGTACCAGACACCCTAGTGACAAGATAACCACTTCCGCTTCCAATAACACCATGTGTAGCTATGGTCGTATCATCACAGTAAAAACTAGGACTATAAGCACGATTCCATGACCATCGTTCACGCACTTGAACAGCAACTGTACTGCCGGATGGAGTATTATTCAAAGGACGCCTATAAAATAGAATAATAAAAAGATCTATTGGTAAGAGACTATATATATATATTATGTACCATGTTATTGTACCACCACGAAAATGAACACCATGTACAATAGTACTAAAACCTACTAACAAGATTATTAGCAATTGCATGATCAAAATCTTGTACGTAGCAAAAAAATGAAATGATTACAAAAAATTATGGTTTAAATACTCTAGCTAAGATTTGTTTTTTTTTTATTTGCGCAGTTTTAATGAAGTAGAGGAATGCAAGGAAAGGGAATGGTACGGTTTCAAAAAACAAAATTTTTATTTTGATAGATAAACGACTGTCTAAAATAAACACAGCCATCGTTCGTTTCTATTTACTGGTGGAGGAGTAAGGTAATAAATTTGTAAAAACATTTTTTCCTATTAATGTATTTATGTAAAAGAAGAAACAGAACTAATACACAGCTTAAATGTTTTCGCCTATTTTGAATGATTAACAAGGAGGATTTTTCATTTATTTTTTTTTCAAAATTTTAAAATTTTATTCCGAAATCTTAGTTACATATTGAAATGATTACATTCGTCTATCCTTAAGAATTTTGTTTTGATAAAAAAAAGAAATAATAATTCAGTACATAAATTTTTATTTTCTTCCACTTTTTTCTCTACAATTAATAAATCAACTTTTGATTGCATGTTCTATGCTAAGTAACAAGTATTTTTAATAATATTAGATAGATTATCACATTTTACTGCATAATTTTAATTTAGAATAAATTCAACTATCTAGATTTGATAAACTTAAAATTCTCTTAATAAGAGTGTTCGATTAATAAAATATTTATTACCAATATTTGTTAAAAATAAAGATAGTGTGTTTTATTTGAATATTTTCTCGACATACTCAATATATAATGATTAATTCTCTTGCATAAATTTTCAATAGTATCAACAATATATAAATTATTTGTTTTAGCTTTCATTTTCTTATTAAATTATTTTAAAAAAAATTTAGTTCAATATTTTTAATAACTAATCCATTTCATTATATTGATATAGGAGTTACTTTAAATAAATAAATGAAGAGAAGCCTATCGACTATTATCTTTCATAAAGTGACACTAAAAAAAATCAGCATGAAATACTCGACACAATTGAGGTATATCTGTACACTTTTTTTTTATTTTTTTATTTCGATTAAAAAAGCAAAAAAAACGGTATTGCCTATAAAAACATAAATATTTTTCTTTTCAAATATAAAATTGCTTATCTAAATGATGTAATTGAAGATTCAAATGTGGAAAAATATTTTATTTGAGTTGTATTGACGTTGTTAATGCTTGCATGCATGATATTGTCGAAACTATTCAACAATCTATTAGAGAAATATGACAAATTAAGTGCATAGACATTGGCTATTTAAGTATTTTGACAAAAATGTATTGTTTCTTTTTTATAAATCATATTTCGAGAACATTTAATAAACATACGGTGAGGACAAAATATTAATAAAAAAAATCGTCATTGAATTGTACATTACTTGATTTTAATCAGACAAAAAATAGCCATCAGAAATATAATTCATAGGTAAAAGAATGAAAAATGAAATCTTTTTTTTATCAATTATTAATGATGAATTGTATA